CGCCGCTCCGCGGGCCCCGTTGCGCTGCGCTGCGCACACGCGCCTCGCTGTCCCGCCCGCCGCCGTTTCCCGCAGCGCGTCCCGGAACGGGCTGGGGCGCGTGGAGGCGGCGCGGCCGGGCGGACAGCTCCGCGCTGCCTCGGAGCCGCCGGCGCCGCTGGCAGCTGCGTTTCCCGCAGCCTCCCTGCCCGCGGGAAACGGGAGCGCGCCAGGGAGGTGGCGGGCGGGAGGCGGGTGGGATGCCGCGGCCTGGGGCGAGCTGCTGTTGCTGCCTGCGCACTGCTCTGTGCACCGTGAGCTGCAGGTTTCCTCGCGCAGCTTCAGGACGCCCGTAAGTGGTCTCCCAGTTGCGGCTGGAAGGGGATTTAGCAGCAGCTTTTCAAAGCAGCTGGATATGCCCTTAGGAGCCATTATCACACATGGAGTTGGATCCTTATCCAACCATCCTTTGGGATGGGCGCAGGAGAGGAGGTCTCTGGGGGCACTACAGGGCGTGATTCCTTCAGCAATACACCTTCCACTTGTGATTTTAAACCTAGTTGACACCTACCTTGTGTGGAAACACGCGCACTGGGGCAGAGCAGTGCTCTAAGGGTACGCTCCCGCTTTAATAGACAGTTTCCAGTGCAAAGCTTTGCCTTGCTGTCAGTGGTAGCGTGAGATGCAGGGCAGGGGCGATCGGAGTTACAGGCTTCAGTGGTGGAAATATTTCTATCTTGTCAACAAATTCATCTGCCTGATCTTAATTGCACACATGTTAATTAATCATTTCAAACCCAGCTTTAAAACTGTTCATACCAGAGTTTCTCCCCACTCCTCTCGGGAGAGCTACTTCACAACCTATTAAACAGTGGTGGTAAAACGTTATTAGTTACATCTAGCTTCAGGTTCTCCTTGCTCAGTTTTATCTTCCCACTAACCACCTGCTTGGGTTTCTGTCTTACGGATGTTTGTGAGCTGTTGCCATGCCCCTTGGAGCCAAGCCAAGCCTTTTGTAGGTATTTCCTCCTGGGGAACGGCTTTGGTTTTCCTCAGTAAGTCCTGCTCTGTCTCATGTGGTGGTTGCGCTGCTGTGCGGAGCACCCAGGCTCTTATGCTGCCACTGCTGCTCTCCTCCTGCTCTCCCGTTCACACCTTTCCATAGGGTCCCTGTCCGTCCGCCTGCCCAGGGGCTGCCGGAGGGCTCCCCAGGACAGGGCTGGGCAAGTCCTTGCTGGGCACCACGCGAGGACCCACGGGCACCTCCAGCCACAGGCTCCAAGTCCTGGTTTGGATCGTGGATGAGGCGCTGAGGGATCAGAGGGTCAGAGGGATCCCCGTGGCACCGTGATGCTGCTGAGGTTGGAACCCTCGAGGCTCCAAACGCAGGGCCTGGGCAGCCGTTGGGGGCTGAAACCCAACACGCTGCTAGGGCCGCGTAACATTTGACAGAAGCCGAGGCCTCCGTGGTGGCAGATGCGGAGGACAGGGAAGCGGAGGAGAGAGCCGAGCCCCGGGAATTAGCCTGGGACAGCGACATATGGCGAGGGACACGCAGAGAGCTACCGCCAGAAGCAAAACACGTGGCAGCCGCTGGGGACAGGCTCGCACCGCCAGTACTGCTCCCTAATGTGAAGCAGGAGTTTTAAGGACAGATACGGCAGCGGTTTCAGTTCGCATGGGCTGATTGTTGTTGTAACTGTTCATCTTACCAGGGCACTCTGTGGCGTGCGCAAACATTTGGCCCTCAGTAAAGAAAAGGGGATTTCTGGTCCCCGACTGAAAGGCTCAATAAGCCCCTGGCTCTGCCTGCGCTGAGGAGCACCCCTGTTGTCACTGCCCTGATGCCTTCTTGGGGTCCCACTGAACGGCTGCTTTGTGCGAGGCTGGTGTCTCTGTGATCTGCAGCAGTCTCTGTGTTTGGGCTCAAGCTCGGCACTTCCCAGGGTTGGCTGAAAAATGTGGTGGGATGGCAGAGAAAATTGAAAATGAAGGAAAAATACCTTGGCATTGCACGTTTCCATGGAAACAAATGGAGGTGCGGGAGTGTGGTTTATTTGCTTCAGGGATATTCTGTTACTGGTGGTTATTTCTCATAGACATGAGAATACTGACGTATTTTGGCCTCAGCCAAATCAGAGATGTTGCTGCTCAGCCTCTTGTCCTCGGTGCGTGAGTTCATTGGCTCATTACGGAGAGCTCCCGGCACCGCGAGGCCGGAACGGGGCCTCTGGACGTGGTCAGGCGTGGAGGACAGGTATGGCCCAGAGCTCTAAGACAAGCTTAAAGATATGAGGTAAGATGTGAGAGTAAGGTTAATACATGAACCAGCCAGAATTTAGTATGAGGAAGTCTTACGGTCTTTGCAATAACGAGAGGTCAGACGGCACCGTTGGAGAGGTTCTTCCAGGCTTTGTAATTTAGGACTACAAGCTACCTCTCCCGTGAATAGCATATCCATGCAATAATAATGTCGTTTGCTTTCTTCTTCAAAGAAAACTTCTCTGTTCTGTAAAGACACTTTTTACTATTTGCAATGATTACCAAGGCCTAACTTGGGTGCAGAGATGTCCCTAATGTGACGAGGGCCACAGCTGGACATGGCTGGATGTTCCCACCTGATCACGAGCTGCTTTAGGACTCCCAGCTGGTACTGGAGCGTGCCCGGTGTGGCCGTGGCTCCTCGGGGCCACGTGGGAATTGGTGCTCACTGCGCTCGTGCGAGCGGCTCCCGAGGAGAGGCACAAAGCGGCTCTGCTGCTGCCTCCTGTGTTGAGGGGGAGTGAGGGGAAGGAAACCCCCTGTGTGGGTAGGCAGGGCCACGTCGTGCACCCACATTGCACCCAGTGTCGCCCCTGCTGCTGAACCCCGGCTAGACGTGTCCTGAGGTGCCACTCTGCCCCAATGCAGTCCAGACAACATCCAGGGACAAATGCCCTGATGAATAATGCCGCGTAATTACACGCTAGTGTTTGGAAGGGGAGCCCACTGTGCATAAGGATAGGATTGCATTTAAATTCCTAGGGCTGCTGCTGGGATTGGCGTATCATAATGCTGTTTCTTGGAGGATCATGGAGCAGATGAATTTTAATGAGTGGTGGGTGTGGGGTAAGGCTGGAGCATGAGTAGCCGGGCAAGGAGCAGGTCGGGCAGAGAAAAACAGACAAAATTCATTTAAAAAGCCCTGTTATATCATCAATTTTAAGTGAGTTCAAACTCCACTGAATGGATGCATTCATTTCCTGAAAATTAAATCTATACCTGTGTGTTTAAACTTTGGAGGGGGCGAGCTCTGCTCTTCATCTGCAGCAAGAACTGGAGTCCCCTTCTCCCAATGCTTTTCTTGGGACATCGCAGCACATCCTTCCTGAGCTCTGGAGCTGCACCAGGCCCCGCGCAACTCGGGCTCTGCCACCCTGCGTCACCCTGAGCCCTCCAGGAAGGAAACTGTTCCACTCCGTGGTCAAAGCTCACAACCGAAGATGGTGCCGACTGGGTATTTCTGTTCTTTTGCATTGGTACCAGGGAATAAAAGCAGATGGAAGACTGTTGGCAGGAAATCTTCCCAATTCTGAGCATACCTGATCAGAGTGATTTGTCTGGCATAAATCAGTGTTTATGCCAGATGTTGCCTCAGAAAATACAAAAGTCAGTGGGCAGTTGTTTTAATATGAAGCTTGGCAAAGTGACAAGTTTTTATTGAAAGGAGTGACAAGTTTTTATTGAAAGGAAAGAAAATCAGGATTTACTGTTTCCTTGAGGTGTATAGAATCACTGCAGGTAGCCAAGTAATCAACTTCATCTAGAAAGAGCAGATGAGAACCCAGGAAGCTAATGAATGTCCCATAACAAAAACCTACTATGTAATAGAAAGGTTTTACAGCTGTCTTTCATTAGGAAGAGAGTAAGTCAGATGCTTGACTTTTTAAATTTAATTTTCAAAGTTGATAATCAAAGAAGCAGCTGAGAGTAAATCAGACTGTTTATCCTAGAAGAACCAGGAACACAAAATTGCCATTGCAAAAAAAGAATAGTTTAGGACGGTAGGTGTTAAATGAGAACTAGTTCAGTTCTCTGCTTTGTCACTTTGTTTACCTAAATAAAAGCTATGGCTGAGTCTCTATGGGGATCTGGCCCTTCGCCATCTGCAAATAGGACTAATAGATCTTCCCTAAGAGGTGCTTAGCTAGAGTGATAATGAGGCCATATATTAAGAATAATAGATACTTTTGGCAGCAGGAGGATCTCAAGATGGTCGGAAGGTAATTTAAATTAATCGCAGGAGTTTACAATGAAGGAGATCTTGTCCTTCAGCCTCTGTCAAAGAGAGTCCCTCAGACAAGCAGAAGTAGGGTCATTTATAGCTCTTTATTCTAGCACATAGGCAGTGACAAAGCCAGAGATGGAACTGCCTCCCCTGCTGGAAGCACCAGCATGGAAGACTAGACAGTAGCAGCAAGATGGCTCTTTTCCAATGACAGTTCTCTCCAATTGGCATTGCATATGGTTGTGTACGTAGTTCTGGTTCTGCAGTGTCTCCACTTAGGCTCAGTTTCACTGGACTCAGTGACTGAGGTTTGTTGCACCTTTTTTCTCCAGCTCCTGTATTTTCTTAGCAAGGCGTTTTAGCACAGGTGCCTGAGGAGGTGCTGAACGAGCTGGGACAGGTCTGTGGCACTGCAGAAGGTGATGCCAAGGTAGCAGCGCCCAGTGAAACTGTGCCCAGTGAAACTCTGTGCTCGGACCTGGGCACCGCTCCCTTGGAAATGGGTGAGGTGCAGGGAGATCCGAGTCCTGCCATGGATTGCAGGGTGACGCCGAGCTGCCCATGTGATGCAAATGCTAAGAAGGCCAATGTCATCCTGTACTTTACTGGGCAAAGGACTTCTGGCAGAGATAAGGGGTAGAAACACCAGTTTGCTAGGTAATAAGACCCTGTCCAGAGCCTGTGTGAGGTTAATTCTAGTGCTAGGAAATATTAAATCAAGTCTGAGACAGTGGAGCTAGTTATGATGATAGGAGAATCAGAAAACTGACCTCAGGAGTAGGCACTGAAAGAGCTTGTCTTTGAGCCTGTAAAGATGAAATGTGAGTCAGGATGTGGTATATCTGTAAAAATATCCAATGGACAGGCCAACTGCTCAGTCAGCGCCTTTGATGTGCACAGTCCCTTGCTGTGCTAGCCCAGAGGCAGGTCCCAGGCCACCTCAGAGAACCAGGCCCTGAAGAAGCTGCTCCTGTGAAGCCCAGCGATGGTTTGGCTGCTGACTTCAATGTGAGCAAGTTGTACGTGAGACTCCCTTTTTTTTTTTAGCTCTGAAGTGAAGCTGAATTAATACCATTGTGCGGTGTGGCTTGCATCTAGCACAACTGGAGCAGAAGTCAATTTGCTGTATTCGAGAGAAAATTAATTAAGGCTTCATTTGTTTTCCTCAGAGAGAGAAGCTCTGGGTGGTTTCCAGGAGATGGTGAGTTCTTCTTGAGCTCCTTTGGTGCAAACCAAATGTGGTCCCCCTTCCAGGCTCCCATTCCTGCAAGCTCCCACACTGCGAGCTGGACACCGTGGCCACTGCAGCGCTGTGACAGTCCCTCTGGCTGTGCCACAACGGGGTGCTGCATTTTGAACCACAGAAGGGGAAATTATCTCAGCGCAGTGTACGGTGGCTGCAGTCCACATGGGAGATGTCGTGGCAGAGAGAGACAGGGAGGCAGGGGTGGTTCAGCAAGGTATGAAGAGGGAATGGGTGCTAAGTTTTTGTTTTGCTGTCGTTTTTCCAGGTTGCTTCATCGGCCCTTTAGGAGATGGGTTTTTCTATTTTGATCCTCCCTGAATATTAATTATGGAATAATAGCCTGCTGAAAATGAGAAACATCTCTGGGTTCCAGTGAACAATCCCAGGATGTAACAGAGGGCTGAGAGGACCAGAGTTGTGTGCAGAAAATGATGAGAGGAAACAGAGCAAAACAGAGGAAGAAAATGGTACGGGTGGCTTACAGGCGCAGAAGGCTCTGCATTGTCATGGAAGGAAAGGTAAGGAAGGTGGCTGCTTGGCTTGTAGGAAATGGTTAGAGCATCAGAATATTGCCGAAAACCTTGTAGAGAATGGACTCTGAAAGGCACCTGCCTGCCTAGCTGCTAGAGGTAACCTCCAGTACGCCAATGGGCTCAACCAACATGACATTGAGTCTCCTTGTGCTGTTGGAGCATAAAGGTCTGGTGTTGGACCTAGGGACTCTTCCTCAACTCTAACGACTCACAGACGGGTATTAACAAGTAACAGCAATGAGTGCACAAACGGTCAGTTTTCTGGCAGGGAATCAAGCTGGGTTAAAACCATTGACATGCTCAAGTGGAGCTCTTCTCACTCAAGAAAAGTCTCACTAAAGATTATAAAAGGTTGTAGGCTTTGCACAGCTTCTGTGGTGCCCATTGGTTGTTGCTGCCCTACATAAAGCTCTTCAAAAAAAAAAGCTCTTCAGAAAAACTCTATCAAAAGTGCTGTGGAGGTGGGCAATGTTGCAAGGGTCACAGTGTCAAGTAGCAGAGGCAGGCCCTTATCTCTTGCTTACAAAAGAAAATCCAGTGGGGACTTCTGTGTCTTTGGGAGTGCTTAAGCAGCTGACTTACGGCAATGTATTTTGGGCGTGAGTCACAGCTGCTGCACGAATCCCGTTCCAAACAAGTTGCTAGGGAGTGCATCCCATAGGTGTTATCCACAAAGACGCAATGGAGCAAGAATGTGCATGGCTGCCGAGTACTCCCAAGCAGGAGACGCTTTTTGTTTGCTAGGGCATCCTTGGCATGCTGCTGGCTCTAGGGAACAACTGGCATCTTGTGTGATGCCAGCTACTCGCTTTCCCGCCGTGGTGTGGACTGGAAGGATCCACGGAAGAAGTCAAAGGGGAGTAGCCCTGCAGCCTCTTAATATTAAGGGTTTCACCTTGGCCCTGGGGTGAAGTTCTTTCAGTCTTTTGACTCTCCGGGCACACAGCTCTGCAGAGGAGAGAGCAGATGGCGTAAGGGCAGGTGCAGCATTCGCTGCCTCTCTGCAGGTGCACGTGGCCCTGGGGAGGAGGATGTAACACGGGACAGTACCATCATCAGGGGCTCAAGGGCAAAGATGGGTTTCTACCACAGCGTGAGGTAACATTATCTCTTAGGCTATTTTTTCTCCTTTGTTAGTGCTTAAATTGTCATGAGACCTTTCCCAGCTGAGCACTACCTTCAGGAGTCGTATTTTATCAATTTCTTCTTCCTCAGGAGGGAGATTAACTTGAAATTGAGGTCATGTTAGACCCACAGAGCCTGGACAGACATTGATAACCTGCGCAGTCCAGCTTAGCGCTGCAGGGCTGGCAGCAGCGTGTGTGAGGGCAAAAGGTGTCATTCACAGGGATGCAAAGGGCTCTCAGCAGCTTGAAGGAGAGAATAAGAATTCAATGACTGGGATTTAGAAGGGTTTTCTGCCATCTGAATGATCCAGCGGCAGATCTGGAGGGTGGCAGTTCTCCCTGTGGGGCTCACGGCTGCTCCCAGGCCTCCTGCGAGCGATGCCGTGGGGAGAGCACACAGGGAAGGTCCTGGATGAGCATGCAGGGTGACAGGAACGTGGCCGCGCTGCCCGGGCGCTGCCGGCGGAGGGCACTGCGGGATGAGCGATGTCAGCACGGGTGCTGAGCAAGAGCAAGAACACATTTGTGCAGCGTTAGAAATGAACCGTTTGATGGGGAGGGACAGCACAGAGCTGACGAGCCTCGCCGCGATGTTTGCCTGCTTTTGGTGTAAAGCTTCAGCTGCTCAAAGGGACGCGTCTCAGTGAGGCGAATCTTTTGAGTTTGAGTGAACTAGGAGCTTTCGAACAGTGTCACATACTGAGGAAAAAGAGGAAAAAAGAGGAAAAAAAAAAAAGGAAAGGAAAAGTTGCACCAAAATACATAAAATACATGCTTGAGACAAAAATCTCTTTGGTTTTGGAGAGGTATTCTGATACTGTGTTGGCAGAGCGCATCCTTGTCTTTGTCCTAAGCCTTGAGAGGGGAAAGGGGGAGTTTTTCCTATTCCATACTTTCCTTCCTGCTCCTCATAAATTCAGTAGGCCTTTAGAAAAGAGCCTTGCGGAAGAACAAGCTTCTGCAAAGAGCAGCCACAGTGACTGAGGGCAGCTGCAGATCTTGCTTTATCACCACACTTGTTTTGGTGGAAGTGTACGTTAGCTTCCTGTTCAGGTGTGGAAGCCCGAGGAAGAGGAAGGAACCGGCAGGTCATGGGCACTGAGCTGAAGAGGAGAAGCATTGACAGGGTATCGTCCACTCTCTTGTGGTACCCTGTACATTGTGTTTCGGAGACTGTTGGGTGACACTTGGACTGTGTGCATGTCTGATGGTACCTTGGCTGTATGGGATGGGGCCAGTACTGAAATGGTGACACTCAGATAGCAAGCCATGGGTATAAAAAACCTGCTGGAGAGGCACCCAATCCTCAGAGAGGCTGATGTGCTTTGAACATACCGAGCAGAGCACGGATGCTGACTGCTGTGATTTCATGAGAAACAACACAAAAACGAAGGCCAGCCACGCAACTGCGCCTGAGGCCCCACAGGAAGTGTTGCAATTTTTATTACGGCTTAGCATGCTTACGGAAAGAAGGATGTATTAATGGGAATTTAGGAAATGACAAGGTATCCCCACACATTTAAAAATGTTAACTAGTTGAATGCTAGCTGAGCTAGCTGAACACCAGTTGAGCTAGTTGAAGGTGAAGCAGAGCAGAGGGTGGCCATTTTAGGCTCTGTAGAGCACAGATTTGACAGGAAATGTACTTTTTAAGGAGCAACATGGTAGCCTTCTCACAACTTTTTCCAGGGGGGTACAGGTTTCTGACATTTTCCTCTTGATTTAGAGGAGCTCTTGCAGTGGGACTTAGGAGAGCTTCTTTCCAGTTTGCAGAATATGAACATGGAGGGGCCATGGCAAAAAATAAAGTAACTGGTGCAAGCTCTCACAACAGAGCAGCTGTGTAAATATACAGGGTTTTGTGTGTGTCTCGGGCTCCCACTTTCTTCCTTCCTGCCTGAGGGCATGTTTTCCGGAGAGCCACAGAGCTTTTTCCTGCTTTGGGGTTTTAAAGTGCTTACAAGAGGGGTGTTATTTATGGGGGATGATTTAGCCTGTGCAGGATTCCTCAAGTGATGGCAAGCTCTTTCTGTAGCCTATTATGGGCTTTTAGCAGGAAAGGGCTGTAGGCTGTTGCAGCACCGCGGGAGCTGAGGTAATTGCCGTGCAGGAAGGCTTTTCCACCCCTGGGTGAGAGGCAGAAGGGCTCACTCTGCACGGCCAAGTTGGCAGATTTAAAAAAAAATAATAATAAAATAAAATAAAATAAAATAAAATAAAATAAAATAAAATAAAATAAAATAAAATAAAATGGCAGATGGGCAGAAGGCAGTTGTCCGTGCAGGGCAGGGGCACGGGGCCCTGGGCCCTGAGGGAGGGCTGGGGGCGGCAGGCAGGGGGCGCGGCGGTAACGGCCGCCAACGGTCGGTAACGGCCGCGCGGGCGCGAGGAGAGGCCGGCGCCGCTGGGCGCCTTTAAGGGTCGCCCCGCCCCGCGCGCCGCGTGTCGCGGCGTGGGCCGGGCCGGGACGCGC